AGATCTGCGATCATCTGGATCTTCAGCCCAATCAGCATCACAGAATGCTGTGGCAGAGAAGATGTGACTAGGATGGCATGGTTGAAGAAGCATTCCATGATGAAGAGTCCCTCTAAGATACCTTAAAATGCACTTAACAGCACTCCAATGTTCATCAAGAGGTTCAGCCATGAATTGACATGCTTTATTCACAGCATAGCTGATTTCTGGACGAGTAAAGGTTGCATACTGCAAAGCTCCAACTATGGAACGATAGAATGAATGATCTGAATAATAATGAGATCCATATTTTGGAAGTTTGCAACCAGATGGAAGAGGGGTAGATATTCCTTTAGCTTCAGCCATGTTAGCTCTAATCAGTAAATCTCTGATGTACTTTGATTGAGACAAGATGAGAGCTCCAGAAGAAGTTTTCTGCACTTGAATGCCAAGGAAAAAATCCAGATCTCCAAGATCTTTGAGAGCAAATACTGTATACAGCTGCTGTACTAGGGACTGAATGATAGTTGAATCACTACTAGTGATGATTATATCATCTATGTAGACCAAAAGAAACACACAATGAGCAGGTATTCAGTATATGAACAGAGACGGATCACATCTGCTAGCTGTGAACCCAAACTGCAGCAATGAGCTTTTAAGCTTGTCAAACCAGGCCCTTGGGGCCTGTTTTAAACCATAAAGTGCCTTGTGAAGCCTGCAAACAAGAGAATTGTTAGATACCTCAAAACCAGGAGGTTGCTTCATGTATACCTCTTCCTCAAGAGTTCCATTGAGGAAGGCATTATTAACATCTAGCTGTTTGAGTTTCCAGCCAAAGGAAAGAGCAATTGTGAGGATTGTACGAATAGTGACGGGTTTCACGACTGGTGAGAATGTTTTAGTGTAATCAAAGCCAGCTTGTTGATGAAAGCCTTGGCCACCAATCTGGCCTTGTATCTATTAATGGAGTCATCTGGATTCTCCTTTACCCGAAAAACTCACTTACACCCAATTGCTTTTCTATATGGAGGAAGGGGAACTAAGGTCCAAGTGCCATTAACTTGGAGGGCGTTGAACTCAGATTGCATAGCAGAGAACCAAGCAGGACTGGTTAATGCCTGTTTAATGGTGGTGGGTTCAAGCGAAATGTGCAGTATTTGAGGTAAATGAGAAGTTTTGGAGCGGGTAGTGATAGAATGGGTTGGAGAAGAATGAAAAGGACCAGAAGGGATATATTCAGAACCAGAATCAGAGGGAAAAGAAGATGAGGATGTAGGACTAAGAGAAATATTGTTGGGAGAGACAAAGGAGGAACTTGAACTTGACACAGATGAAGGGGAATCATGTTGCTGTATAGACGAACTGGTGGAGGGACTTGAAGGTGCAGTAGCACTGGAAGAGGATGAATTGGATACTGGAAGAGGAGAGTTATGTTGTGGTATAGGTGAGTCACTACTAGAGGCTGAGGAGATTGTTGCTGAACTAGATGAGGCATTAGCTGAGCTTGGCAATTGAGAAAGTGCAGGACAAGGAATAGGAGATGTTGGTGACACTAAAGGGATTAAATTTGAAACTGGTGGGTAAGTAGTGTTTGGAGTGGTAGTGGGACTCAAATTAAACTAGGAGGGATTTGGAAATTTAGACTCATTGAAAAGGACATCTTTTGAAATAAAAAGTCTCCCAGAAGAATTAAGGCATTTGTATTCTATGTGATTAGGTGAATAACCCAAAAAGATGCATTCTCTGCTTCTAAAATCCAATTTGTGACTGTTATAGGGTCTTAGAAAAGGGAAGCATGACCTTGAAGGAATTATAGTGTGGTACTGTTTTGTGAAGTTTGGTAGAAGGAACCTCAAACTTTAATGCAACAGTAGGGAGGCAGTTGATAAGATAAACTGCAGCAATAAAGGCATGATCCCAAAATTTTATGGGTAAAGATGCATGTGCCAGTAATGTGAGACCTGTCTCTACAATGTGCCTATGTTTTTATTCAACCACTCCATTTTGGTGATGGGTGTGAGGACAAGCTATTCTATGAGCTATACCAAGTTGTTTTAGGTGTTGATAAAAGGGACGAAACTCTCCTCCCCAGTCAGTTTGAAGGGCTTTAATAGAGGACTGAAACTGATTTGAAACCAGAGCTTGAAATTGAGTGAAAATTGTTAAAGCTTCTGACTTCTGTTTTAAAGGATAAATCCATGTGTATCGAGAATAAGCATCTACAAAGGATATATAATAGGTAAATCCCATGGTGGATTTAACAGGGGCAGGACCCCATAGGTCACTAAACACCAAGTCAAAAGTATTTTCATAAATTTTGGTTGAAGGAGGTGAATGTAATCTGTGAATTTTACCCAGGCAACAAACTGAACAGAACTCAATATCAATTTTATTAGGAATAGGAATATTACAAGACTTTAGAATAGAAGCAAGAGCCTCAGTATGAGGATGTCGTAAGCGATAATGCCAAAGAGAGTACATGTATTTGGATCCTACAACTTTCTCAGGACTAGAAACAGAATTTGTACTACATTTCGTGGTTACATCAGAACAAGTATTACTAGAAGTAGTACTCAGAGAAACTGAGTTACAAGAAACATAATTAGGAACACATTGCTGACTTGAGTGGTGAGTAAGGTTGACTCCATGAAAACTATATAGACCATCTGAGCCCAAGGTGCCCTCTAATATCACTTCATGAGATCCCTGTGATTTTACACAACAAGTGGGAGGATGAAATTCAGAATATACACCATTATCTCTGGCAAATTGACTCACACTGATTAAATTTTTAGTGATGGAGGGAATAAGAAGTAAGTTGTGAAGATGTAAACGTGTGTGTGTATGAAGTGGAGAGGCAAAGGAAGAATAACCAGTGGCTTTCACTTGCAGACCTTGTCCATTCCCTATGTAAACCTGATCAGCACCATACAATTGTGTGCTCTGCAATAGATTTTGGGGATTGGCAGTGACATGATGAAAGGCTCCTGAATCTGGATACCACTCAATGGCTTGAACGTTTGATGGAGTGGGAAGAATTCCTTGTCCTGGAGTCTGTAAAGCAACATTGCAGTGCTGTTGAGCAGCATTGTGAGGTTGGTTTGTGGTGAGCAGGGCTTGTGGTCCCATAGCATTTGCTGGAGATTTGATGTACTGATATGATCTTTGAAAGGAAGGTTGGACAGGTGTGAAGTATTGAGGAGTTTCAGGTTGAGGAAGTTCATGCACAAAATTCTCATCAAATCTATGCCAACAAGTTTGAACTCCATGTCCAAACTTATAACAGAGTTGGCATTGGACGTTGTTGAGACCACGAGCTCTTCCTCCTCTATTGTTTCGACCATATGATCTTCCTCTGCCTCTTCCAACACTACTCTGAGCACCATAAGACTTCAGATTGTTTGTATTCAGCTCTTGATTCTGCTGTAGGACATCAAAAGGAGGTCTGTTAGATCCAGATTCTCCAGATCCAGTAGTTTGTTCAACAGACGTTTTCTGGACAACATTTATAGTCATGGGGAATGATTTTTTTTTTACTCTAGTGTCAAATTTTGAAATTTGATATCAAATTCTATCTATTGATTTTCGCCAATCAACGGTTATAATTTTCGCCAATTAAATTTACTAACTAATTATTAATTTCTAATAAATAATAATCTTTGATTGGGGAAAATCAACGATTAGGATTTGATGTCAAAATTTAAAGTTTGATACCGATGTCTAAGTATCGTAACTCTCTCTCTCTCTCTCTATATATATATATATATATATATATATATATATATATATATATATATATATATAAATGAGGCAGGATCCTTTAACACCGGTGTCAAATTTAAAATTTGACACATAATCTGAAAGTCGTTAGATCAAAAAAGATCAATGGTGTCACATGCTTACAAATTAGAGCCGTTGATCTTTTTTGATCTAATGACACTCAGATGAGGTGTCAAATTTTAAATTTGACACTGGTGTCAAAGGATCCTACCTCTCTATATATATATATATATATATATATATATATATATATATATATATATATATCCGTGTATATATAATGGTGGAGACAAAAAGTTTTGTGAGAGGCTAGAAAAACAAAATTCATTCTAACTTAGTCAAATTTGAAGAATTCTTCATGTTTTCTTCAACATGAAAAATAATAAAAATAAAGAACGACGAACTTATGTTACACTACCTTTTTTTTTTTAAGTCTAATTGTGATCTAAGACATAGGTTCCATAAATTTGAAGGAGGATGATTACACTTCCTAATCCCTCCCTCGCTCCACCTCTGAATGCACATAATACAATGTAACATTAAACAAAAAATATACACATAAAATCATCATAACATACCCCCGAATAATACTAATAGGTGGGTAATTCCAATTTCGACGGGAGAAAAGTAGAGAAAATAATTTTCATTTTAGCATTTTTAACAACAAACAAGACATAGTGGAAGTCTGGCATTTATTAAATTCTGATGATATTTCAAATATATTAACACAAAAACTCGAAAATACAAAAATATAAATTATAAGATGCAGAGGAAAAGTACTATTTCTTTGGGAGTAATATTTCTCATATTGCAGGAGATAATTTTATTTCTTACATATACAAAAAAGTGTGTAAAACTCACCTGGATCTATAAAGATAGAAAAAAAAAATATGGGTCTCATACAATTTTATCTGAGTGTATAAAAGATAAAATTATCTTTTTTTTTTTTTTGAATTCCTAAAATTATCTATTAGAACATAAGAAATATTAATCCTTATTTCTTTTTATTTGAATACCTTGTTTAGTTACTTTTTATGTAACAACTAATTTAAAGTGAGTTTAATATTTTTCTAGTATTAGTTTAATATTTTTCTTATATTATCTCTTACGCTCGTAAAAGAATATGAGATCTATGTGAAAAGAAGAAAAAATAAAAAGAAGATCTCACACGTAATTTTATTTATAAATAGAAAATAAAATTATCTCGCAGAGAATAACATGAGAAATATTAAATGCTTCTAAAATTCAATAGAATAAAACTCAGTTAAAGAAGTGGCGGCGGTTTCCTCAGCATCACTTTGTCTCCGCCATCGCACACTGCCTCCGGAGAAGTTCTCTATTTCGAAAAGATCAGAACTTGTATCACTAGCTGCGTCGTCGTCCATGTCACGTGACTTGGCGTTGCTTTGTGGTAGGAAAACTTGCAAGGAATCACGTGGTTGATCTTCTCCTTCGTGCACAACGTTCAGAAGATCCTTCGGTTTTGCTAATAACAGAGGAAAAGTGAAGGCTTCATTGAAGGGTCTTCGAACATGGTTCATGGCATGTTGAAATCTTTGAGTGTTTAGTGTCACCATATGATCCTTTTTCAACTTGGAAATTTGGTTCTGTGAGAGGCTTTGAGGTGTTGGTTTTGGTTTTGATGTTGTTGGAGTTTTTGGTTTTGGTGTGTTTTGTTTAACTTGCACAGAGTTTTCACCAGAGCAAGGACATCTTCTTTGTAAAAGCCAAATGGGTTTTGACAATGAAGCTTTGATTTTCTTGCTAAGATCACTATTACTACGAGCATAAGAAGAAGAAGAAGAAGAAAGTGTTGGAGTTGGAACATGGAATGAATGAGCTTTGAAGTTTTTGATGTTGGTGTAGGCACCAACATATGATGAAGCAGAATAGGAGTGTGATCTTTTGGTCTTTGTGGCATGATCACCTTGCTCTTGATCATTGTGTTTGTATTTGTTTCCCATGTTAACTAGAGGATAAACTCTAGTGTTGTTGTTAATGGCCACTTTTTGAATGTTGTTGTTGTTGTTGGTTGTTTCCTTGTGTGCATGGAAAATGCTAACTTCAGAGATTGAATCATGATCAAGATGTGATGAGATAAGAAGAGAAAGACGCATAATTTCTATCTTTATGGGTTTGTGACTTTGGAGCTACTACCTCTGAAATTCATTCTATGCTCATTTATATTTGTGTGTTTGTGTGAGTGTTAGGACTATGTACTAACCTGTCACCAATATTCAGAAAGCAGTACTAATAGAAAAGAAAGTTTGAAAAAGAAAAAAATCTAAAAAATCAATGAATAAGCAACAAAATACAACCAAAACTATTGAAAAAGAGTAGTAAACTTATGTTTTATTTGTGAAAAGAGAGAGAGAGAGAGAGCAAAAGTTGAAGTAGATAAAAATGACTGATGGTATGTTAACAAAGAATGAAATCACTGCTGGTGTGTACCAAACATAATGTTACTATTTCAAATACCTAAACAGTGCTTTGAATCACTTTTGATTGTTTTCAAACTAGTGAAGTGACCATTCCTCACCTTTTCTTATTTTCCAAGTGAGAGTTTTATCTTCATGTGGCCGCCTCATAAGTTTGGTGGTACTGATTTCAAGAGATTAGGAAGGGAAGCAAAAGTCCCATCTAATAGAAAATAAGACAGAGCAATGTGAATGTGTGAGGGTCCATTTCATTTGACATTAATTAGGAAGGTGTGTTTGAACTCGATTTATCATATCACAAAGATTATCTTTACGGGAGTATATCTTCAATAATACTCGAGTAAGTACTCTTTCATTACAAAATATATATATATATATTGAGATTACCAATATTGTAATCCGAGCCCGAATCTTATAATTTGATCGTAATATTTCACCACTTTCCATAACTTCAGCGCTCAATCATAATTGGGAGAATAGTGGAAGCTTTTATACCAATTGATACAAATCTTGAGATAACCTTACCCCAAAAACTAACTTATAAAGTAAAAGAGCTCAAAGTTTGTATAAATCCTACATCCAAATCTTATAATTTTAATGTGAGACTTCAAATCTCATACCTTACTATTGGATCATAATACTGAATCACAATTAGTTCTGTAAAAGGTGAATTGATTTGGAGGTTGTGGCATGGTGGGTCATTGTTAACTTTCTGGCTAGCATGCGCTACTTTATTGCCTTCCTCTACACATATTCATGTATGGCTCTTTTTTTTTGGTGGTATTTGATTTTGCCTTGGAGAAAGATTTTGTTTACGTATATTCTTTTTATCATCAGATAATAGAAGACATTCTTTTTTATTATTCTCCTTTTACATAAAATAGTCATCTTATATTATAGAGAGAAAATAGATGGGTCCCACCATTACAAGAAAAAAGAAAAAGAAAAGATGAGATGCGAAAATCGAAGTGAAAGAGTAGGAGAGAAGTTATCTTATGTAAAAGGAGAGTAATATTTCTCTTCTTTTTACTTTGTAATTCTTTAACTTACTTGTCATCACTGACTTTTACTTCATAGAATTTTAGTTTGGTTGATGAAATTCAATAAATTTTTATTCATTTGCTAAAAGGGACGCTATGCCTTTTACACTGGCCATGTTTTGTTTTCTCATTTTATTATTTCACTTGTCTATTTGTTTCTTCTTTCTTTTTGGTTTTCCTGTTACATGGGGATAATTGAGTCTTTCTTATCCAGGACCGTATGATGCTGGTAGTGTAAATATAACTTCGTAGAATTTTGAAGAGTCCTTGTTTTAAAGCCATGTTTTTGTGGTGCCATTTAAAGCTTATTATTCTTACACCTACATAAAGCAACAGTTAAGATTGATGGTAAGGTTTATTATTTTTACACTAGTGTAAATTGATCTTATCTCATATATATATATATATATATATATATATATATATATATATATATATCACTGAAAATAATTTATCTCTAGTGAGTCCAAAATAATATCGTTTTGAAATTGGGAAACCTTTAATCGGAAAAACATTATAATATCGTTTTGAAATTGGGAAACCTTTAATCGGAAAAACATTATATATATATATATATATATATATATATATATATATATATATATATATATATATAAATAGAGGTATGATCCTTTGACAACAGTGTCAAATTTAAAATTTGACACCTCATCTGAGAGCCATTAGATAAAAAAAGGTCAACGACTCTGATTTGTAAGCATGCGACACTATTGATTTTTTTTTTTATCTAACGGCTCTCAGATGAGGTGTCAAATTTTAAATTTGATACTAGTTTCAAAGGATCCTACCTCACACACACACACACACATATATATATATATATATATATATATATATATATATATATATATATATACTGGAATAATAATAATAAAAAAGCACATCTGGATACGATTCCCGTATCCTGGTGGAAATAAGTGTTGCTGCAAATTTTATATATATATATATATATATAGGGGCAGGATATTCTTACACCGGTGTAAGAATTAGAAGTCTTACACTCAATCTTGACCATTGATCCACTTGTATCCAATGGCTCACATTACTAAAAAATTTGAGCCGTTAGATATAAATAGAATTAACGGATAAGAATGAAAGTGTAACTTACACTGGTGTAAAATGATCCTGCCCTATATATATATATATATATATATATATATATATATATATATATATATATATAGGTAGGATCCTTTGACACCGGTGTCAAATTTGAAGTTTGACACCGCATCCGAGAGCCGTTAGATCAAAAAAGATCAATGGTGTCACATGCTTACAAATCAGGGTCGTTGATTTTTTTTGATGTAACGGCTCTCAGATGAGGTGTCAAACTTCAAATTTGACACCGGTGTCAAACTTCAAATTTGACACCGGTGTCAAAGGATCCTGCCTCATATATATATATATATATATATATATATATATAACGTACGTGGTATGACAATTCATATGAAATTTTCATTTATGCGAAATGACATCATCTTGTATCTTTAATTTGGTGATTTCCTTTGCCTCTATCCCTGACATCCCGGTGTGTTTTGTTTGAATATATATGACATTCTGAATGGTTGGTTAGGAAAAAAATAGTTGGTGTACACAGCTTGGAATAATAATTTGGCATTGATGTTAAGTTATCAGATCATGGTTGTTTAAAGGATGCATTATCAATTGACCATGGAAGACCCCAAACAAGAAAAAAATACATTAGTATTTTCATTTTCAAGAATTAACCCTTCCTCTGATATTTTTCGTTTTTTTATTACATGATCCTAATTATTCTTTTGAGCAAGTCAAGTTTCTTGATATCCTCTATGATTACCACTTGTGCAAAATATGATCATGATTACAGAGGGTGTGAAAATTTGATCTGAACACTGACTAGTGATTTCAAGCTCATTCAGGAAAACAAGTAAAGAATGTTTAAAATTAGGAGCAAAAACTTCTGATTTGAATTTAGTTTTCTATAATTTCCATTGGTTATCTCTTGATTTTGGGAGCTTGAAATTCATTAGAGCATGTAAATATTTTTTTTTTTTTTTTTCATTTCCTTCGTAATAATAAACAAATCAAGCATGATAAGTCAAAACCAATGGATATCATCATAAATGGCCTAAACAAGTAACAATGAACTGATTCAGTTAAAAGTCTTGCGGAAATTCTCAAGCCAGACATAGAAAATTGAAGAGAAATTCAAAATGGAATCATCAAACTAATACAAAATTGCTGGTCCTTGATCAGATAAACAGGACCAATTGCCTTTCCTTGAGTACAAAAATTCAAATTCATTCTTGACCTTGTATAATCCACAAGCACCCCTTTTCACTCTCAAAACAGTTGTTTTCTTCAGTACCACTCAATTTTCTCCCACCTTTTTTTGCTTGGAACAGTTGAACATTCATTTCGTTACCTGCAAAAGAATCCTTTATACTAAGTCAGGTTGCTCTTTAACTCGTATTTAATTAGTTTCCTTTAATTAACTCGTCCTCCTAAAGAAAGGGCCTTAAGACATCCACATAAACACACCAAGCATACAAAGCTGAAGGTATATATGTTCTTAGAAAACTAATTAACTAGAGAGAGAGAGAGAGAGAGATATACCTGAGAAACCTTGTTTCTTCCTCATCTAAGCAATAGCTTGATGTTTGTACTTCTTACTCTCTAGACATTGGGAGTTCCAATAGCGGAAATATATATATTGCATCAAAATCTAAAACTGATATTAAGGTAGACATAGTTCTGTTAGCTCACTTTCTACAATAGCTCTATGGGAATCTCATAAACATTATGTCTTCCTTTTTTCCCTTTTGTTTGACATTTCCAAATTTCAAAGCATAATATGTATTTTCACTTTTATCCAGTCAAAATTGCCCTTAAATATTGCATATTGAGTTAGATTGCTTTTTTAGCGTCGAACCATGCATAAGATTTCACGCCTTACGAGAGTAAAGGTGAGGGTCGACTTATATATGCATCCTTATCTTTGTATGTTTGCATGGAGCAACCTTATTGTTGCTCCAAGGCGACTTTGTTTCCTTACTATCAATATCACCAAGATTCTAATTAATAAAAAAAAAAAAATAGAAAAATATATGTGCCAACACCAAATATGTGGGTCAACTGGTAAGAGGTTATTCCAGTTTAATTTGTAATCTCGAGTTCAAGTCTTGGGTAATATGTTAAAAACTTAATAGGGAGAGTTTTGTCGCCTTTGTGGTCTTGCCTGACTTGAACCGAACCGAACTAGTTGAAGAACCAATGAACTAATGGAAAAATCCAAAAAAAGAAAATATATGTGCCCATCTAATAGAGCTAAGATTATACAAATGCGTGTGCGTGCAGCGTGTGTGTATATATATATATATAGATTATGTGATACAGAATCCGCTTCTGTGTAGCATGAACAAATTGTTAGAAGATAAATTATAGAAAAGGATACGAAAGAATCAAGAAGGGCACATCCTCCTGATTCTACAAGCCACGGTAGATTTGGGCTTATTTTTGACCAATCCAAGCTTCTCACAAGTATGCTACATAAAAAAGAAAGTACATGTTCTTTGAAAAATTGTGATAATTTCACACTCTATTTTTTCAGCTGTAAAAAGTCACAATGGTACTGAGACTTGAAATAAAGAAGATAATATAAACTGGTGGCGTACCTTGCTACATAAGTAGAATTCCCAACTATAGCAAAGAGAAACATCAAAGGATTGAGGCCCTACATATCATAAAAGAGATTTAAACTCTGCCCTTTGAACTAATTAGGACTACTTCATACAACTGGAATTGGACAAAAGTAATCAATAAGAATAAACACAAATAATCATAGCAATAATGGTTGGAGTCCTAACCTCAAAGTTACCCCTTCTGATCTGCAAAATTGATGAAAAGTATTATTAAGTGAATATGAACTATAAGGAGAACAAGACAAATAAGTCCAACTCAAAAGTGTATAATCTACAAGAAAAGGAAGCTTATTAGATGATTCTGATATTTCCAAAAAATACTACATACAGTTCCCTTGGAAAATAGCAAAAATAAATATTTGTTGTGTATGTTATCATTTTCTAATATATATGGTATGCAGACTGAAGATCATGCTGTTTATTTTATTTTTTTCTATAGAATACTTCTCCAAGTCTTTCAAAGCATGCTATGCAAGTGATTTGATGGATGAGTACAAATGAATACCAGTAATAAAAAAAGTTCTTATCCAATGCAATAGAATTTTATCAGAACAATTTTTGACCTAAACAACAGGAAAATATAACTCACATTTAAACAAATTTGAGGAAGTCTTCCACCCATATATATAACTGCCATTGGCCAACCAAGTAAAGTCCCAAAGCCACTGTGTTCTGCCACACCATGTTCTTGCAACTCAGCCCCACTAACCTGCAAATGCTGCAAGAATTAATGACAGAAAGGGAACTGAATATTTCATTTCTTTCTTTGAAAATATTAAAAATCAACATAACTTCCATGTTTGTCAAATTTGAATGTTTAGTAATCCACAAAATTATTGCCTTTCTCACCCATAATTTTCAGCTAATCATGTTATTCCTATTCCTATAGGATGCATTGGCTAAATTACAATATCAGGTGGATATCCATTAAGGGGTGTTCTTTCTTTAAAAAGTGTAACCAACATGTGACTTGCATTACCTGCAAAAGCTTTCGTCCAACATAAATCACATATTCTTGTTTTGGTTTTGAGACCATGGAACCAATTCTTGTATGTGGTGACTGAAGCAGATTGAAGGCAACAAGAAAAGTTAATGTTGACACCTGAACAAGACAAGATGTGATTAGATGCTGGCATTGTCATAGTTATATATAAGTAGTTCAAAAGTTTACCAAACATAGAGTAGTCTTGATCTTTAAAGCTGGTGCAGATTGTGCGATGTTAGCTGAACCAAGCAAGGGCTCTTCCATAGGGTTTAAAATATGAGAAGTAGGTGTCATTCTTTGGGCTAAGAAAGATTTTGCTGGGGGAGTATGACTCTTTGATAGATATCTTGCTGACCTAATGAATTCGAAACAAAAGAGTTATAAGAACTTTTTATGCTTTTAGAAACAAACCCACTAGAACTTTTGGGAGCATTATTATGCTTATTGCCCTTAAACTACTTCATAAGAAATTATACATAATGAGCAAGACCAAGAGAAGGAAGATAAATCTCATGGAAATATAAAAGGAAAGCTAACAAATGTGCACAACCAAGATCCTAACTGAAGGATATTGAACCACATAATTAAGTAGGGTAAACACCCAACTTCAGTTTCCTAGTAAGTAGTATTTTATTGTTTTGCATACACCATAGATTATTTGTATTTTGCTTTCAGAATCTTATCTCTTAATGTTGGAAAGGGTCATTGCCAGTTTTAGATAAAACAAGATTAACTTATCCTTACTTGGACTGCCTGCACAATTCACTGGCCACCTTAATTCCTTAGTCATCCATAAAGTTTAAAGACATTTGCATTTTAAAATTACATTTCTTTGATGAGGCCAATAAAAAATTTTCAATTATATCTCTTAAAAAATCATAAGTTTTTTGTGCCTAACATAACTAAGATATTGTGGTTGATAAAGAAGCAAGAGTACAATAGAACATTTTTCATATACTTCAATGAGAAAGATTAATTACTGGTAGTATAACTGTCTTCCAGTAGAATTGTTTTGAGTAAGGGCAGGAAGAGGAATTGGGGAAGTCAAACCAATGCGTGTATTGAAATCATCAAACTCATTGCTCTGATCAGCATCATTGACTTTTTCCATTCCACTCTTGCTTTGTCCAGCATTTGTTGGTGTTTCAATCTGCATGGAAATAATATATTAGGCAATTAAAGTGTACTAAAAGTATCTCTACTTGACTGGAGTTGCTTACAAACTTTTAGAAAATAATTCAAAAGAAGTATATTCTGTATCTCTTTCTCCACCACTTACTATGATTGCATAGTACCAAGAGATAAAGTAAAAATGCCTCCAAAACTATATGCAATTAGATTAAAACACTTTTAATAATGTTGTTCTAATATAACATTAACTAGATAAAAAAGAAGTCTTTTATGTGATTTCATTTGTATTGCTGGCAGATTCTTTTATTTTGAACTTGAGATTTCATTTTGATTCCTAATTCTATAGGAATCCGGTATATACTTTTTTGCTGGAAACAGAAATTGCCTGGAGCCTATCATTGGGAAGTTAGCTTAATCAACATAGAATAACTTATATCACATCTGCTATTTACTTCTTACTTACATTGACATAGAATAGCACAATGTTTCAAATCTTGAAATAGTAATAATCATCAACAAATATATAACAATAAAAGAGCAGATCCCAATGTGAAAAGGCTCTCCGATATTGTAAGGATAGGGATAAGGGTTGATTGTACACAACATTAACCTTGCATTTTGCAAAGAGAAAAGGAGCAACCTAACCACTACTCCAAAGCTTGCCCTCTTGACAAATATATAACAATTTTCCAAAATTAGACATGCAACAGAAGGTATAGGAATTTGAACCTTGAGCTGTCTATTGCATTTCAGTCGAGGATATATGTGTCCATAGTAAATGGCTTGTGAACAAAGTAAAACAGTTATACTGGTATAAAACTGCACATTTACACAAAAAGGAACAAGGTCAGTCAACTATCTGAGGCAGGAAAAGTCAGATAAAATGATTTACTATGTTTCAGAACACTTCAGTCTTCAGCTAGAGCCCTTACCACTGCCACATATAGTTGAGTTGGAAGCTGCATAAACAAGAAATAAAATCATTCACTTAGCATAATACCCTTATTAATTTCAGTATCACAGATTCTGTATTTTCTAATTTGATATTGGGTTAATTTAAGCTTCAACAAGGCCTGATTTTGTTAAAACATGTCCAGATTGGAGATCAGTTAGCTTATATCTTCACTAAGCCTTGGTAGGGAATAGAGTGAATGTTATATGTAATAAGCCGGGCATGATTGATATCCATGCACCAACTTGAGGGGGAATGTCACCGAGCTACCACAACGTGTTATGGCCTATCAAACATTAATCTTTAATAGACTACGAGTTTAACATAAATGCCATTCAGGAAAAGGGTAAAAGAATGCTCAAGAGATTACCAACAAAAGCATCTAAGAAAACAAATGAAAATGATCTCATTTTGCAAACTAGTTGTTATTAGAGAATAATATTGTGTTTGTGTGTTTTGTACATAGTTATCAAATGCGGATTGCGGCATGTCGCAACCAACCCCAAAAAATGCTATAGCGTTATAGCGAGTTGCGGTTGGAGAAATAGCAGAATAGATATATGACAGAAATAATGACAAAAAGAAATATTTTTTGAAGGCAGAGATAGTAAAAGTGACATAGAGAGACACGAATAGACTAAAAAATCCTTAACGGGGTGTTTGGTTTAGGAATTTTTTTTGGAATAGTAGAGAAATGAGATAGATAGAGAAATGATTGGAAAGATAGATAAAGTGAGATAGGTAGAAAAATGTAAAAAAAAGTTGTTTGGTGGGGAAAAACTTTACTGGGAAAATTATGTAACTTTATGAAATCAACATTGCATTAAAAGTCAGATAACCAGTTTTCCGAAAAATCCCACCTTCAAATTGGGTTTCTAAACAGTGCGGATATCTATGTTTCTCATAAATCCAGACAAATTGGATAGATGGGTTTTTGATGAAAAACGTTGAAACAAACATGGTATTTCTAAAAGCCATACTTGAGAAAGACAGATATCCGCTAAAAAGCTCCCAACCAAACACCACCTAAATTTTTTCTGTTATACATTTAAATTTATGACAAAATTGACATTTTTCCTTATGACAGCAATATGGCTACAAATGCGATTGCAATGGCCGCTATTGCGTTCCGGTGTCGCGTGGCGCGGTTTCTTGCGGCGAGGCACCGCAATACTCATCGGAGTGGCTCGCGGCGCTATTGCGGTGCAATTAACTACTATGGTTTTGTAAATACTAGGCTGTGCTTGTAATAGTACAACACCTGTTTTATTAATATAAATATACACAAGGAGCCTAAATCTTCTCTCTTTTTCTTTTCTCTCTATCTCTTTTTGTACTATAGTACTGAATATTATCTCCAAAAATAAGAGGAAATTTTCGTTAGACACTGCAAATGAAGTATTTGTCAGTAAATTGATTTGCTAAATGAGTAGAAACTAAAGAATGCAAAGGCTGAGAAGAAGAATAATCTTAATCATGAATTGAGCAAGAATAAGGTTCAAAGCAAGAACAAGTATTTATCATCAATTTTATGAATTTGGTTATTCAAGTTTTCTTTTGCAGGAGATTTTTTGCATAGCGAAATTGAAATAAGACAATGTGTCATGGTTAGTTGAGTCAATATGAGGCTAAAGATTGAAAGGTCTTACAATAGAATCCTCAGTTCAGGAATTACAACGGAATTCTAAGAGACATTTCTGCAGATACTATGCGGTAACTCCTCATTAGAAATTTTTTTAAACTATCAACATAATAAAGTTTAGAATATTTTTAGAAATTGTGGAATTTTAAGGGGTGTCAAGGTGAAACCAGAATTTTCAGGCTTTTTCAAGTAATTTCTTCACTTCAGAATCTAAGGCCAACAAAAAAGGCATCATGTAAGAAGCCTTTAATAAACTTAATTTTTTCTAGAAGATATATTTTAGTTATAAAATGTTTATTGTTTCAAGTATGAATTGAGTTATATAGCTAATGTCCTCTCCTAGTCTCCTAAACTTGCTTTGTTCCTTGGATTTTGTTCAGCAGTACTGTGATGAGAATGTAAATAATAAGAGAAAGTTGAAGCAAATTTTACAGAATCTAAAAGACAGGCTACATAGAATATTTAAGACACAACAGAAACACTCACAGTAGCAGGTTGCAGCAAGCATCCAAAGAGGTTGAATAGATCTCTGCGAAAAAAAAATAGTATCAAAATATTGGACATGGCAAGACCTTAATGCAGATATAACAAAATCAGAAAAAAAGAAGAAGCCATGGAATGAGGAAGACTTGATAACATCAAACTCTGACATGGGATACAGATGAGACACAAATACAAAAACCAAGCATTAAGGTCAGGTTACCTACATACATCAATCAAAGCCATTTTGCTCTTTCAAAAAATCAAATTTTTCAAAAAGATCATTGAAAGGGAGGTCTTTTTCAATGGTTTTTTCTCCTAAAGTTTTCTATGGTCTAACACACATCCATCCAAGAAAATGTGAAGAATCATAGCATATTTTGGCTCAGTACACAAATCACAGTGTTATAGTCAACTCAAAGTTTAAGGGGTTCCACATTCCATCAAGTACCAAAATATGTTAGAGGTTCAAATAAAACATTAGAACAAGCAAAAAGATGAATAAGGATAATTATGGATTAATTAGTTAGGATTGAAGCATATTAGAATAATGAAACAGCCCTTAGAAAGTTCCAAAAAATACTTAAATTACCCGATTATCCATGTCAACAAGAAACCAACAGAGAGACCCTCAGCAGATTTTTCTCTGTAGTTTGTGATTATTTGAGGAATCTCAGCAAAAACCCAAACAATGACACTGATTACACCTAATGTGATAGAAGCTGTCTCTGTCACATTGCTCATAAGATTTTTGACCAATTGCAAGCAATGTTGATTCCCAAAACACAATGAGGTGGAGCTTGTAAACAGACCCATTGCATCAAAGAACTGCTATCTGCAATGAACAATGAGAAAAATAAAATAAAAAGTAAAAATCAGTTTCAGAATATCTTATTAACAAGGCACATGCACACTACCAAAATAACAAATGATGAGTGACTCAGAACAATGCATAAGAAGCCAAAGGGTATCAAATACATAAAAAAAAAAAAAAAAACTATTATATCCTGATGCCAATAAAATACTGAAAAGTAATAATATAATAATAAAGGAATGTTGGCCTTCTCCACTGTCTTTATATATGATGAGTGATTCAGAAGAACATGGAGCCAAATACATATATAAAAAAAAAAACAGTGTATCCTGACTCTAATAACACCCAAAATAATAATATAATAATGAATGAATGTCGCCATGTATATAGAGGAAGAATATTTTGCATAACAAAAGATGAAATTATGCTTATGTAATTTTTAAAACCATTACTCTATTTTTTTTTTTATATTATCCAATAACTCAACTAGTTCGATTTGAGTTGGGTTGAACTATGAGCAACAAAACTTTTTCTACCAAATTTTAACACAGCTATATTCCAGGAACACAAACTCTAGACATCTAAATAAGTTGAAATAACCTCTTACCAATTGATTTATGTGCTTGATGGTAAAATGATTACTCTACTTGCATTTGGAGATAATAGCTATCAGATGTAACTAAAATTAATGGAGAGTGTAATGTGTATAACACTATATTCCAACTTTTAGAATCGCTTTGAAATTTGAGGCCAAAAGGGATGAATCAAAAACTAAAAATTTAATCAGAATACAATGCCTTGTCCTAGATAGAACAAAAACCCTTCATAGCAGTAGTAGATAAAAAAATAATTGTTGATAAAAAAAATTAATACAACTCTTCTTTAAATACAAGTCAACCTATAACCTCACACAAACTATTCAAATTCCTCACTGTTAGACAACACGTAATGGCTCAAAGGCTTAGAAGCATACAACTCTTGGTGGTGAAAACTGAAAAGAATGGCAAGAGAAAAGAGGGTACGTAAAGAAAGACATGCAAATGAAGATAAATGGATACCCAAAAACAAAAAAAGCAAACTTTGGAGCTGTGTGTGGGTGAAACGGGCAAATATTTATGGTACTATTCCTGTACCATTCAATCAGTGTATTTATTCAATAAAAAATAAAAAATAACTCTCATTCATGCTTGTACGGAAAAAAAGTGAAAAATATTTTTTTTATTCAAATATCACTTGTTGAATAGCATATGTACCTACTACAGATGTATAGAAGTTCACGTGAAACGGTTAGGTTGCCTTTCTTGAGAGAGAGAGAGAAAGAGAGAGTGAATGGCTTGAGATTGCGGCGCAGAGAGGGAGAAAGAGTTTTGTTTCACACAGCACACACAGTATGCAATGTTGACTGCTGCTTCAAATCCCAACGTGGAAATGGACTCTTTGGCTTTATGTATGCTACGAAAAAATCTCATGAAAAACCTAAATCATATAAAAGTTAAAATTCAAAATCACTCTTTATTGGATAATTTTACTAGATAAGTTGGAACATTCCAGAACTTTTTATCTAGATAACTTTATTTGAAAGTTAAATGTTGAATTTCAATTTTTGAGGTATATGATAATTTAAATTTCAATATATATATATATATATATATATATATATATATATATATATATATATATATATAATAGAAGCAGGTTTGAAGCCAAGAAAAAGAGGATCGAGGGTCTAATAATTTGGTCCCATTGTTGGTTATTTTGTAGAACTAGTGAAGGTGAACGATTAATGTGGTGAAAGGCATGATTAATCCATGGCCAAAAGTTAGTACTGAAAAATATATATGACCAAAATTATTTTGGGCACGTTGGCTTGATAAAGAAGAGAGAACCAGTCACATTCAATAAATGCTTTCTCTTAACTACAGGAGTTTCGTTAAATAAGTAGGAATGGTGGATGGTTCATTTCTGTTAGATTTCTTTTCCAAACCGAATTGAATTGAAAAAAACCAATTTGGTTCTTAGAATTGAATTGGTTTATTAGTTCAATTTAGTTATGAATGTAACGCCCCGTTCTAGAACCGGTTTGTTAACATCGCATTATGATATTAAGCGCAGTTACAATCACATGGGTTCAATTAAAATCCGGTTAAATTTTTCATTTTAAAACATGCCAAATTTATAATGCCCAATTGCGTGATCATAACCATATTACTTTGCGGAATCAGATAAACCAAGCTTAACATCATGTTCTTATTCCATTTTTAAACCATTAATTTACTTCTTATTTATTTCCCAACTTCTACTATATTGTAGATTTCTTCGTTAGCTACGCGTGGTTTCAAACCGCTCCTCATTTGGAGCTCTGTAGCTCAAGTTATGACAATTTTACTAACTCAGGTGTATTCTGAAAAACTACGCGGGGAGGGCGCTTAAGCGCGCTCCAGGGCGCTTAAGCGCCCACAGACAGAGGGAATTCACATTTTTTGGCCACCAAGGGCGCTTAAGCGCGCTCCAGGGCGCTTAAGCCCCCATTTTGGGCGCTAAAGCCCCAGGCGGCAGAAAGCTTTTGGTCTTCACAGGTGCATCAGGGCGCTTAAGCCCCCTCATGGGCGCTTAAGCCCCCTGAGCAGGCTTAAGCCTCCATTTGCAGGCTTAAGCCCCCTCTTCTGGGCAATTTCCTATACTCATATTTTTCATGCATCTTTCTTGGGGAATCAATCCTACACATTTTACAACCTATTTAACAAGCTTGTGATATCCCTATATCATTGCTTAACTCTCATCCTCTCATCATTGATTTAACGGAAATTGGGCAGCATAACCTTTGTTTTCTCAACGTTTCCCAACTTAGCACAAGGTACCTAATTGACTTTCCAGCTCAACATATCCAATACATAAAAATACATTCATGCATTTAACTTACAGTAATCATCATACACAAATATCTTCATTACTTACAATATTACATCATGTCTTAATTACAAATCTCATATACATGCCAAAGGACTTAGCTACAAAATGAACATGATCAAAGCAAGTAACCATGTATCAGATACCCATTACTACTACAATGATCATGCACTAAGTCCTCCAAAATACATCATATGACATCAAAATATACATATAGCAATGCTAAATGGCATGCAACTCAACATGTCCAGCTATCAGGTACAGTCTACTCACGCTTCTTGCCTCGATCAACCTCACCTCTATCAGTACCTGAAATGATGCCCCACAACACGGGGTGAGATATACGAATATAACACAGTAAACCAGAGGTCCTTGGAGATCACTCCACCCTAAGGTCCACTTCGATGTACACATAATCATAATAGCTTAACACATTCTTATCCACAAGCATCACATGGACTTCCAAGAGAGATCCACTAAGGGCTGTTTCTCTTAGGCTCTTACCACATGGAGATCCACATAGGGCTGTTTCCAAGGGAAGTCCTTTCCTCAATCTATTCCAAGAGAGATCCTCAAAGGGCTGTTTCTCTTAGGCTCTTACCACATGGAGATCAACCTAGGGCTGTTTCCAAGGGAAGTCCTTTCCTCAATCTAGGAACCTCCAAGAGGGATCCACATAGGGCTGTTCCTCTTAGGCTCTAACCACATGGAGATCCACATAGGGCTGTTTCCAAGGGAAGTTCCTACCAATCATCCTCATCATAATACTATCACTCATAACCTCAATCACAATCCTCAACCATTACCTCATTCATTATTGCTACTTCTATAACCATTCCTCAATTACTCTTAAACAATCAAACATCAACCAATAATCATCAATCAATCATAACATGTATCAATGCATGAATCAATGCATGAGCATACAATTACTATCATAATTACATATCACATCTCATAAACCATTTCTCCTCAACGGAGTATGGTGGAGCACTCAATGGGATCAACCACAAGGTCCAAAGGTTTACCTTGCTCTTGAGCTTTCCTCAATTGCACACAACCCCAAGGGTTGGTCACTCCACTTGGTCCTATTGCCTCATTCCATCAACACAAGGAATACAATCAAACAATGCTAACAATGCAAGGAAATCCATAGTTCCAAGCCTAGATTTATCCAAACATCAAAGCATACTAAAATAACATTATAAACTCATTTCTACCGATTAAATGTTATTCCTAGCATTTTTCACAACATACTCTAAGCCTCATTCTTCCTTGAACATAGCCAATCTACTCAACATTTCATAAAAACCCTAAAACACTATTCATTAAACCCTAACCATGAAATTTTCCAAGAAAACAAGGTTCAAAGAATCTTACCACCAATGGTCGCACAACCAAGGATTGATGGCTCCTCAAGCTCCAATGGAGGTTGAAGCTCCCAAAACCCCAAATTCTCACAAAGGGGCGGAACTTTGAGAGGAAAAATCTCACAACACAACACTCCCCACTAAGAACCAAGCTTGGATTATGAAAGAGGGGAAGATTTAAAGTGGTTTAGGCTTTTGAATCACCCAAAACGGTTAAGGTTTCCTCCCTCCTCTCTCTCTTCTTCTCTCTTCCTTTCTTCTTCTTCTTCTTCTTCTGTTTGCTTCTCTCTCTGGCTCGACGGAAATGGGGTGGGAAATGGGGCTCTTTTGGTGTCTTAGTCACTTAACATAGGTTAAGTGACTTTAAGCGGGTATTGGTTCGTCTATTTATTCAACTCCATTAATTACCAAACTTTACCCAAAAGTCTGGAATATTTTTCTAGGAATGTTTCTAATTTTATTTTTATATTTTGGGTACTTTTGCCTACACCCATTTATACCCCTTAATTTTCACTGAGTACACTTTTTAACTCCAAGTGACTCAGATTCATTTAATTAAGCCTTATACTTAATTTTACTCACTAAAATATGCTTAATTATTTAATTAAAATTAATCAATTAAATGCTTAAGTTTGGGGTATTATATTCACCCCACCTTTTTAACGATTTTGTCCTCAAAATCGACAAAACCACTCATTCAATCATCTATGGATTTATCGGAGAAC